GTGTAGCTACGGGTTATTGAATTCAAATGAAAAGATCTAGCTAAGACAAAACTAAACTTTGGGGTTTTGGTTTTGGGTTTCCTAATAACTAATGCAATGAAATGAAAAAGCAAATAAATGAAAGCTAAGTAAACTAATGAAAGCTAAGATGATAAATCGGTTGTAACTAATATGACTAAGGCGTTGGGTGTTCTGGGGTTTCTCCGGGAATCATGGTTCTCGACTAACTAGGGTTTAGATCTCTAAGGTTTCTATGTTTTCGTTCTAGTTCATAACTACGAAAGGCGAATGAACGAGTTATCCTAGGTTATAGAATAAGCCGGCAAATCTTCCTATACTCCGTTACTCAACTGACGCAGTCAACGACGCATAGATCATCGCATTAGGGTTGGATTCGCTAAGTACTCTAAGTCCTACTACTCAACTTACGCAGGCAACAACACGAAAGATTGGTAACACTATGTCCGAGATTAGGTTTACCCGATTAAAGCTCCTAACCTCTTGGATCAGCGTTTGGTGATCAATCCAAACACATGCATTAAGTAAAAGATGTCCCAAAAGAATCTAGTATGAACGAAATAAATAGATCTATAAACCTAATATGATTTGAACCATGAATCCCCTTTGAATCACCCCATAAAACCCAACAAAGAAAACTACTCGCTCATGATGCTAAGAAACGACATGGAGATGAAGTAGAAAAGCTTAATAAACGAATATGAATAAACAAACGGGGTTCAAAGGAAACTTCTCTAGTGTCACAGAAGATACTTGTCTCCCCAAAAGTCTTGAAAGAAAGAGTAGAAGAAAGAGTAGAAGAGAAAACAATGTAGAGTAAAAGAGAGAACTTCAAAAGACGACTTCTTCGGGATGCAAGAGCTTCGACGAGGAGGAGCTAGGAGAGCTGAGAGTCTCGTCGATGGAGGCAGCAAGATCTAGGGCTGAGAGGCGGTGAGAAAGCTGTGAAGGATGTCGTAGGGGTTCTTCAACTTATCTTGGTATTTATAGGCTTCGATTAGGTCAAAGGGCAAAACCGTCATTTCTCACGGATTAGGTTAAATGAGGCGCGAGTTTCTTGGACAGGGTACGACGTGTGATGACCGGGGTAATGCGTGAAGAACAGCTCGGACGCGAGCTCCATGACCGGGGGCTCCAAGAGGCGCCGGACCGGACACAAGGCTGTCTGGCCGGTCCGTGACATGTCTTCACTCTTCAAGGCATAACTTCCGATTGGCTCCTTGAAAAGCTCTGATTCTACTTTGAGATGAACCTATACTCTCCTAACTTTCCATAACCACCGAGATCTCTTGATTTGGTAATCGGAAAGACCTCGAACGGACGCCATACTTCTGAGGTACAAAAACTGTCTTGAAACGGGATTTGATCGACTTTTATTCCTTTTGCTTGAAAACACATTATTCATCCTTGAAGCATAAATACTTGGAAACATCCTTGAAATCTCCAATATCTCCTGTTTTCTCCATGGAAAACCTAAATAAAACATAGTAAAGGCGGGGTGAATTTTGAGATGACGCTATACACATTACCATTGGTCGGGTTAGACATGGTGTTGGGAGTTTAGTGGCTCAGTAGTTTGGGTCCGATGGTTTGCGACTGGAAGGAGCAAACTATGGAGTTCGATTGGGAGGGGACAAGACATAAGCTTGATGGGCTGCAAACAATGCTGCGGGCTGCTGGGCCGAATGAAGTTGAAAAAGAGGCCCGTCAGGGACATGCTATTTTTGCAATTCAAGTAAGCCCAATGGGAGAAAAGGAACTCAACATCCCGAGCGACATGAAGCCATTGCTGCAAGACTACGGTGACCTTTTCCAACCGCCGGTGAAGTTACCGCCATCGAGAGCAATAGCAAACCATATTATGTTAAGAGAAGGAACATATCCGGTTAATGTCAGGCCATATCGGTATGCTCATTTCCAGAAAGATGAGATCGAGAAACAGGTGAGTGAAATGTTGCAGGCCGAAATTATTCGTATAAGCTCAAGTCCATTTTCTTCACCCGTTTTACTAGTAAAAAAGAAAGACGGTGCTTGGAGGTTTTGCACCGATTATAGAGCATTGAATTCAGTTACGATCAAGGATTGTTTTCCTATTCATACGGTGGATGATATGTTGGTCTGTTTGAATAATAAAACGCCTCCCCAACAAGTACGGTCTCCAAACCCGTATGGCTATCACAATGGCAAGACTAGAGCAGTCTACGCTATCTCTTGGAACAACGCATTCTCACGCCTGAGCAGCAAAAGTGGATGGGGAAATTAATAGGATACGACTACGAGATCACATATAAGCCGAGAAACACTAACATAGCGGCAGATGCATTATTTGGGGTACCGGGAAGCCCGGTTCTTAATGCTATTTTTGTTCAATACACGACCCTTTGGGACAAGATACGGAGTGCGACTGCGGGAGGTGAGTATATGCAGCAAGTAGGCAAGTTGGCTGACTCGGGAATAGAGGGCCCTTACTCTCGGTGGAACGACTTGGTATGTTACAAGTACCGTGTGGTGGTGCCACCATCTTCTCATTTGGTACCGCAACTGTTAAAAGAACACCACGATACGCCAATAGGAGGACACTCGGGGGTTCTTCGTACATATAGACGGTTGGCACGACAGTTTTATTGGCCGTGAATGCATCACACGGTTAAGGAATATGTGGCATCATTTGATGTTTGTCAGCGTGCTAAATCATCATCGTTGGCTCTGACAGGGTTACTCCAGCCACTACCAATACCAGACTGGCTTTGGGAGGATGTGTCGATTTGATGTGCTAAATCCGGCTTTGGGAGGATGTGCTAAATCACGATCTGATGGTAACACCACTATTATGGTTGTTGTTGACAGGTTGTCAAAGTCGGCTCATTTGGTACCGTTGTCTCACCCATACACGGCTAAAAAGGTAGCAGCTAAATTTGTGGATGCCATTGTATGCCGAGATTGATTGTGAGAGACCGTGAGCCGGTATTTGTCAGTTTATTCTAGAAGGAATTTTGGAAGTTGGCGGGAACCCAGTTACGATTGTCATCAGCTTACCATCCGCAATCTGACGGTCAGACGGAGGTGGTTAATCGATGTATTGAGCAGTTCCTAAGGTGCTTCGTTCAGCACCGGCCAACACAATGGAGTTCCCTTTTTCCATGGGCCGAATTTTGGTACAATACGACGTACCATTCATCTACGGGGACAACTCCGTTTCAAGTATTTTATGGTCGGGAACAACCGGCAGTTCCAACTTACGAACCGTTATGAGTTGTTACATGAGCTGAAACTTGTAACACCACGGTTTAAGGAATATGGTGGTGCATGCAGAGTGGTTTAAAATAATTGATTTGCCCACATATGTCACCAAAGTGAACTTATCTTTTCGGTCAACTATCCTGAGAGAACTCCATAGTTAAGCGTGCTTGGGCTAGAGTAGTTTAAGGATATGTGAACTTCCGGGATGTGATTGTCGAAACTGTGTGAGTGAAGACAAAACACAGGGAAAGATCATATGGTTATTTGTAGGGTCGGTAAACAAGTCGTTAAAGCCACCCGGACGTAGCGGACCGGTCGTTGGACAGTGATGGGCCCATGGGCCCGAGAGAGGATGTGGGGCCCACTGGTAGGGACGGTCGGGGCGTTATAAGTGGTATCAGAGCCGAACCCAGACCAGTGTGGAGCCAAGAGGGCTCACACCGTAGGGGGTGACCGTCTTGGTGTGCAACGAGGACGTTGCGATCAGTTAGTGGGGGTGAATTGTAACACCCCGGTTTCAGGAATATGGTGGTGCATGCAGAGAAGTTTAAAAGAATTGATTTGGCCACCTATGTCACCAAAGCAATTGTAACACCCCGGTTTCAGGAATATGGTGGTGCATGTGGAGAGGTTTAAGAGAATTGATTTAGCCACCTATATCACCAAAGTGCTCTTATCTTTTTAGTCAACTATCCTGAGAGAACTCCATAGTTAAGCGTGCTTGGGTTGGAGTAGTTTTAGTATGGGTGACCTTCCGGGAAGTAATTGTCGGAACTGTGTGAGTGAGGACAAAACACAGGGAAAGATCATGTGGTGATATGTAGGGTCGGTAAACAAGTCTTTAAAACCTCCCGGACGTAGCGGACCGGCCGTCGGATAGGGTGGGCCCATGGGCCCGAGAGAGGACGTGGGACCCACTGGTAGGGACGGTCGGGGCGTTACAAGTGGTATCAGAGCCGAACCCTGATGAGTGTGGAGTCAAGAGGGGCTCACACCGTAGGGGGTGACGGTCTTAGTGCGTAACGAGGACGTTGCGATCTGTTAGTGGGGGTGAATTGTAACACCCCGGTTTCAAGAATATGGTGGTACATGCTGAGAGGTTTAAGAGAATTGATTTGACCACCTATATCACCAAAGTGCACTTATCTTTTTGGTCAACTATCCTGAGAGAACTCCACAGTTAAGCGTGCTTGGGCTGGAGTAGTTTCAGGATGGGTGACCTTCTGGGAAGTGATTGTCGGAACTATGTGAGTGAGGAAAAAACACAGGAAAAGATCATGTGGTGATTTGTAGGGTCGGTAATCTAGAACAATTTCAGGATGGGTAACCTTCCGAGAAGTAATTGTCGGAAGTGTGTGATTGAGGACAAAACACCGGGAAAGATCAAGTGGTGATTTGTAGGGTTTGTAAACAAGTCTTTAAAACCTCTCGGACGTAGCGGACCGGCCGTCGGAAGATGGGTTGACCCACGGACCGAGAGAGGACGTGGGATCCATTAAGACAGATGGCGGTCGGGGCGTTACAAGTGGTTTCAGAGCCGAACTCAAACGAGTGTGGAGTCAAGAGGGCGCAACGCACCCAAAATTTATCCCAAAAATCGAAACAGCCCAAAATTTAGATTGAAGACCCTTCTGCATTTTATTAGAGGTTTGGGGTTTTATAATTTAGTAGGCCTTTTATGACTATTCTTCACGTTGTTTGTTGTTTCCAGTGTCAACGAGTGTTTTTCTTGGCTGAGTTAAGATCAAATTAAAAACCTAATTTCAGCTTCTAACACATTAGTACATTACAGTGGTATCGACCAAAAAAACGAAAAAAGAAAGAAGAAGTAATTTTTTGGGAGGTCTTAGTTTTGGTTCTTAGTAATTTTTTTGGTTCTTAGCCCAATTTTTGACTCTTAGCTAAGAGTCATTCCTTAGCAAAATCATCAATTAAACCTTCAATTTTAATTTCTTTTGAGCTAAGAACCAAGTTAAGCACCTCGCAATAAGGATGGTCTAAAATGTAAGTGTGTACCAAAACCATCATTCCTTCTTCAGATTATGTATGCAGCGTTCAGCAAAACTAGTTCAGAGATTGACATGATCACTTTTCTCTTGAGCTTTGAATTCACTGGTCTTGAAGTGGAGCTTCCTGAAATGTATATTCTTTTCATTTTTGGTCGATATAAACAGCATCAACGTCATCAAGTTCTAGTAGTTTCTGCATTAGCTCTTTGTTCAGTTCCATGGCCTCATCATCCACCTGCAACAACCAACAGCAATCCCAAGTAATCACATTTTCCAAGTGAATGATTGATGAATACTGATAACGGTGTGACTCTAATTGTTGGAAAAGAAAAGTTAAAATGAAAGAAAGAAGAACACGATCAAATTTCGCGATGTAAGTTTATCTGTTTAAGTCTATTGCCATTTCCAATTATGCTTACGTAGCATATGCAATCTATAATATATTTCACAAGTTAAGAGTTGATAAATACATGTTGTCGGTAACAGGAATAGAATCAATAAGTTAGAATTAGACATGCATAAATGGGAGGCACAGAGGTTACAGAACAGAGGGAAGGTTCAATACCTCAACTGTAGTAAGAGGGAGCAGTTCAGAGCCATTGTCAGGCTCGAAATTCACACCTTCATCCCGTAGCTTTGATAATATAGTTGAGTAGTTCTCAGAAGAAGTTACAATTTTGTAGTACCTGAACAAATAGAGAGACAAGATACTAATGAAACAAAATAACATAACAGTTATGAGTCATCTAGGGATCATCTCGTCACACCCATCTGTATGAATGGCAAGATGGATTTCTTGTTTCAAATTGTATGGTATGGAAATTTTATTGTCATTTAGCTGTTTATGAGAAGAAAATACACTAGGTCTACCTTCAGTCACTTGATTACTTTTTAGATTCAATCTTGAAAGAAAATTTTTAAACCCATTTCAATTAGTGACTATCTCTATCTTCCCTAAGTTAGGTTTCATCGGCAACAGAAACAATAAACGTAATACTGACAAGAAGAAAATAAATGCTGAGAAACGTATTACATTGTGTATATACCTTTCTTCCCTATCTTCATCAGTATCATCTTCATAAGTTGGGGGCTCAATAACATCCTCTGCTCCAGCATCTAAAGCAATATTAAGGAGCTGATCTTTGTCAGCTTCAGTGACCTTTATATTCACTACCCTAACTCGTCTAAACTTGAACATGACAGATCCTGAATCAGCCATTTTTCCTCCATAATCCTTAACAACCGATCTAATAGCTGCCACTGATCGATTAATTTTGTCTGTTAAGACCTCGACTACCATACTAACCCCACCATAGCCATATACCTAAAGCATAGAAAACAAGTTATTTTAGAGTCATCAAAAATCTTATAATTGGACCCAAAACAGATGATAACGAGGAACTGGAATTATAGTACTGCAAATTGAACTAGGTACTGAAGTTGTATTAACTACAGTAACCACATACTTGACCAGGTTAGAATGATGATCTAAAACCAATTCATAGGTTTTAAACTACCAGGACATTTCCCCACATTACTAGGATGATTCACCATAATGACCCACTTGCAAACATAAAACTAGAAATGAAGCTCATGACCTCACCTCGTAAATCTTCTCTATAAAAGCTTCTTGTCCCTTCTCAGAAGCCCTCTTAATATTACGCTCCACAATGTCCTTCGGTACATCCAGCTCTTTCGCTTTGTCAAGAATAGTAGCTAGAGTCGTATTTGAAACTGGGTTTGGACCCCCTTTTTTGACACTGCATGATATTAACCCACACATGATACTCATTGTCATAACCATTTCAAACTAAGAAGTTGAGTCCAACAAACTAAACACCCTATCTATATTACAACTACTGTGCAAGTTTTACCTAATAACAACACAAAAGATGAAAAAATGGTAAAAATGTTGAAGACTTACGCAGATACAACCTCCTTGCCAATTCTACAGTATAGCTTCGCCTTCTTAGAATCTTGAGCCCCCTGTATTCACCATAAACTTTTTTATTAAGCAACCACAAGTTTCAAGAGAATATTGGTATCTACTTCATAATTGCTGAATTGCATACAACACGAGTTAGAGAAAATTCCAATATAGGCTTCATAATTTAAACATGGTGAATTATATAATAGTTTTCAAAATTGACATAACTGTGCAAGTTAGAATCTTTACAATAACAAAATGGTTTTGGTATAAACTCATGATCAAAACCACTCTTTCTCTGAGGCATTTCATCAAACACATGGTTGGCATCAAAATTCACCCTCTCTAGACTCATCAAAACCACTAAATCGTTTATTTTTAAAACCAAGAAGTAGTAGCAAAACACTTCTCATCATTCAATTTGGAACTAAAGTTATCATAACATGAAAGCTATGAACCCACAAACTCAGAAGCTTAACGAACCTTTCGGCCAGCGATTTTGGAAGAGCGACGACCCATACAAAGAGGAGTTGAAATCGAAATCTTTCTGACTTGAAGCTTGCGGAAGCAGTTCTCGTCATCTGATTGTTGTGACGCCGTGAAGTGCGAAGTAGTGTGAGGAGAGATTGAGGAAAGAGAAGAGAGAGAGTTGGTCATGGTGAGAAGACGATGTTTAGTGGAGTTGAGAATGGATCTGGAAGAGACGCCATTGGAGAATCTGTGGAGGATTGCTCTCATAGAGCAATGGGAGGCCATAGTCTTGAATGGATTGACAAGAGAGGGAATGAGAATGAGTAATCAATCCAATTCTTTTTTTTTTTTTTTCTTTTTTTTTCATCCGAAATTAATTATAGCTCAAAAGAGTCATTCCTGAGGAATGTTGTTTACATATGTGATATGAAGCGGTTCTGTACGAATTTTTCGTGCCAGATTATCCGCTTTTACATTAGCATTTCGAGAAATTAAAGATAAAAAAAAGGATGAGAATTCTTCCTTGTCACTCTGGAATTCTTCCAAGTACACTGAAAACGCCGGCCATTCGGTTGGAGAAGACACCATCTTCACCAGATCAGAACAGTCTGTAAGAAACGCCACTTCTTGATTATCTGCACCAATCATACACTTCATCGCCCAGAGAAGAGCCTCGAATTCTGTATGTAATGGAGATAGACTTCTACGGAGGTTGGCAGCTCCCATGGTTGGCGGCTCTCCGGTTGATGATGTACAGAACCATCCTAAACCGGAGAACTTATCACTTTCTTTCCACGATCCATCCACAAAGCAACGACATCCACAATAATTCGAATCAAGTAAAGCATCCCCCACTCGAGAACGATTTACCAAATCCACAATACCATTAGTTTCATGATGAAGCTCGATTTGGGCTGGCTGCCACAATTGTGCTTCTTTTTCCGCTAACCGTAATACCTCTAACGGATCTTTGTCAATATTTTCAAAGATTTTTTTATTTCTTGCTTTCCAAATATACCAGATAATCCATGGAAAGGCTGAAGAATCAAATTCCGAAGATATTCTCCAAAATAAGTGGTCCAAATTCGCAAAAATAGACTCCGTTGGAAAATTTTCCATTGGCGTAGGAATCTGGGAAAGTTCCCAAACCTATCGTGCCGGGTGGCACTGAAAGAGTGTATGATTGATTGTTTCCACTGGTTCGCCACATCTGGCACAGCCTGTGTCACAATCAATTCCTCTTCTCCGCAAATTTTCCGTAACTGGTACACAACCCGTTAAGATTTGCCATAAGAAATGACGTATCTTAGGCAGACATTGCACTTGCCAAGAATGTGCTTTTAACGGTTTGATATCTGGGCCAATCAAGGATAAATTGGTCTCCAACCTTTCCAACCTTGTGGTATGATATCCCGATTTGACTGTATATTTTCCGGATTTTGTAAAATGCCAACCTAGTGTATCTTCCTTAGTTGGCGCACCCACAGGTAGGGCACTTATTAGGGCGACATCTTCTGGATCAAAGATCTCTTCTAAGAGAGCTATGTTCCAAAAATTCGACCGACTATCCAAAAGATTGTTAACTTTTAACAATGGGTCAACAAGTGAACCATTACTCTTTGCTAGTCTCGGGAATTGAGCTGGAATCCAGGGATCCTCCCAAACTGAGATGGATGTCCCCGATCCGACCCTTTTAATAAGTCCTTTATTAACCAGAGATCTAGCTGAACAAATACTACGCCATCCATATGATGGGGAGTATGATTTTATATTTTCCAAGGGATTGGATTTCCGAAAATACTGCCCTTTAAACACCTTCGAGAAAAGAGAATTTGGAACCGTAATCAACCGCCATAATTGTTTGGCTAATAGGGCTGAATTAAAATCGTCTACATTCCGAAAACCTAACCCTCCTTCCGATTTGCTATTACACAACTTGTTCCAAGCCATCCAGTGCATACCTCTGGAATCCCCATTTGAACTCCACCAAAATTTAGCAACCGCACTAGTAAGTTTAGAAGTGATTGTTTTTGGTAGTCTGAAGCAAGATATAACATAGGTTGGTAATGCTGCAGCTACCGATTTAATCATAACTTCTTTCCCACCTTTCGATAAAAATTTCGCCGACCATCCGTTAATTCTTGTTTGCAATCTATCTCTGACAAAAGAGAATATTTTTGTTTTAGATCCACCCAAACTCTCCGGCAAACCGAGATAAGATCCCATCCCACCGATATTAGTGATTCCCAAGGTAGATTTGATTTCTTCTTTGATATCCTCATCTACTTTATGTCCAAACTGAATCGAGGATTTTAAAAAATTAATCTGTTGTCCTGAGACAGCTTCATACTTTTTTAAAATCCCCAAAATTACCTCACACTGGTCCTTGTTTCCTTTACAAAAGAATAAACTATCATCCGCAAATAACAGATGTGAAACCGAAGGGCTTGCATTTGCTATCTTGATACCCGTAATTAGTTTTTCCCTTTCTGCTTTCCGAATATTTGCAATTAGCACCTCTGTACAAAGGATGAATAAATAAGGAGATAGCGGGTCTCCTTGTCGTAATCCCCTTTCTGGTACAATTAGTCCTCTAGGTTGCCCATTAAGGAGAACTCTATATTGAACTATTGTAATACACCACATTATCCAGTTAATCCATTTCTCGCAGAAACCCAATTTTCTTAGAACTTTCTCAACAAAAATCCATTCCACCCGGTCATAAGCTTTACTCATATCAGTTTTAATGGCCATAAATTTTCCTTTACATGACGGGTTAGTTCTCAACCCATGAAACATCTCTTGTGCAATAAGTATATTATCCGAAATCAATCGTCCTTCGACAAAAGCTGATTGTGTTTCCGAAATCAGTTTTGGTAAAACCGTTTTAAGTCTTTGACAAAGAATCTTCAATATAATTTTATAGCCCACATTGCATAGACTTATAGGCCGTAATTCCGTCATCCGTGTCGGTCTTTCCGTTTTTGGAATCAGGCAAATATTTGTCGTATTTAACCGTTTGTCGAAAATTCCATTCTCTAAAAAAGAATTAACCAGAACAAGAAGATCTGATTTAATTGTAATCCAAGCCTTTTGAAAAAATAAGGCTGTCATACCATCGGGTCCTGGCGATTTTTCTGGATGCATCATAAACAAAGCTGTTCTCACCTCACTCTCCGTAGCAGGTGCCGTTAGAAAATTATTAACCTGATCCGTAATCAGACTTTGTATTTCTGCCAAGGACTCCTCAAAAGCCTCAGGTTTAGTTGTAGTAAACAGATCCTTAAAATAAGAAACCGCTATATTTTGAATATCTTTATCCTCTGCAGACCAAATCCCGGTTTCATCATGCAGCCCTGTAATCCGATTCCTCGCCCGTCTCTATTTTGTTAGAGCGTGAAAGTACTTTGAGTTATCATCTCCTAGTTGCATCCAAGAGCACCTACTTTTTTGATACCAGTACAATTCCTCATCTCGATAAGCTTCTTTCAACCGTAATGTTAATTCCGTAATCTCCTCTCGTGATCTCCTGTCATCCCTTTGTGTCACATGTAATTCCGATTTAAGTTCCTCAATTGTTTGCCGCCCATAAGGAGTTAGTTCTTTCCTCCATTGCGAAATAGCCCGTCTACAGTTATTCAACTTTTCCACGAATTTTCCTTCTCCTAATTCAGGCTCCGAATTCCAACCATTTGAAATTGCTTCCATTAATCCCTCTTTTCCAATCCATCTCTTATCAAACCTAAAGCTTCGTTTCCCACGTGGTATCTTGTCTAATAACGTAGCTACCACAGGTGAATGGTCGGAAGCAACCATTGGTAAATATTCAACGAAAGAATTGCAGAATAATTCATGCCAATCTTCATTCGCTAGAGCTCTATCCAAACGACATCGTATTAGTTTTTTATCCCGCCAACCCCGCCAGGATAACCAGTTTCCGATATATGGAAAATCCAATAGACCGCAATTTTGAATCATTAAATTAAAAGGGATAAACGAAGATGCATGTCTTAGAGTACCACCTCTTTTCTCATGATTTCCGGTTAACTCATTAAAATCACCAATTAAAAACCAGGGTGTATCCCGAGTCAACCCGATCCGCGTTAACCGTTCCCAAACTTGATCTCTGTTTTTCGGAACCGGGTCACCATAAACAAAAGTAAGATGAATTGTTTACTCTCATAAACAATAGAAACATTAAAATCATTATTATAATAAAAAGCTAAACCACCACTACAACCGATAGGATCAACCGTTTTTAAATTTTTATAACCAAAATGACCGATAAATTTTTCCATAAAAAGAGAAGACTGTTTTGTTTCTGAAAGAAATAAAAAATCTGGTCGGTGTTGTTTCCAAATGTCCCGAAGATAACCGATAGTCGCCTTATTCCCGAGCCCTTGACAATTCCAACTCAAAACCTTCATTTATCAACTTTATGTTTTGGTGGGTTGCGTCCACCCGTGAAACCTTTCACCGTGCCATGGTGTGTCGGTTTATGGCCTTCATTCCCATGATCTCCCAAATTTTGCAACCTTGTCATCCAAATTTTCCCATTAAATAAAAGAGCCTGATCTTCTGTTTCAAAACTTTGATAAAAACAGAACACCAAATCGTTCAACATATAAAGAGTTACATAAAATACGAACCACAATTTCCATAACCAAAACCCAAAACTATGTTTTCCAAAAAACCAATTGGGGACCAAATAATCTCTGAAATTGAGTAACAGAAATATGAAAACATCTTCCCAAATTGAAGATGATGAGTCAAATATGCAAATCTGAGAAATCACCCAGGAATGAGAGCGAAAATCCATCCACATTAACTTTGATTGTGATGAATCCTTCTCTTTGTTTGTAATAAGCCATTGCAATCCTCCATTGAAGGCCTCCACATCAAAACCAGAAACAACCAAAGAGAACCAAATCTGAAAAACATATCTATTGGATACGATCCTTAAAATCACCCGAGAAGAGCCAAATCTGAAGCAAGACATGATCGAAACAAAACTAGACCTCATTGTTGGGTTTAGAACCCTAGAGTCTACCTCTTCATCACCATCATTCTGATCACCATGGCCATACAACGCATCAGCCTGAATAGATTTTAGATCCTTCAAAACACAATCTAGCTTTAGGATTCGCCCCCAAACAAGCCACCATCTATCCCGATTCAACGCTTCTCTTCGAAGACATCGCAGCTCCTTTAACTCGCATTCATATTCAAGGATCGAGATCAAAACCAAAACTTCCCCATTTAAAAGTTCCCCGGAAACCAACCAAATGCTGTCCCCAAACCACCATTGAGGCCATTTCGAAAGAGACCCACGAACAGATCG